GAGTTTGAGTCTCAGTGCATTCTAGAGCCCATATGTCAAACACAAGGCCCTTGGGCCAGATCAGGCCCACGACACAGTCCTATCTGGCCCGCAAAAGTGTTTCAATTTTCTATTTATTTTAGCCCTTTTCACAATGCACTGCACTACAGTCACCAGCATGCACTGCAACGTACTGTGTGCTTTGACTTTTCTACCCCAACAGCATTCTATTGGAGAGCGTTTACACCTCAATTCTAGACAGTTCTACACAGTTCTACATCAGTCATATCACCAAACACACTAACTGCATTTCAGCTGCATTTCAACCAATATAAACCCCTAACGTTACTCAGCAGCTCAGAAATATAACCTAAGTATTAATGAACAGCAAAGAAAGGATGTCAGGTAGTGTCTAGTTCAAATAAATAGGTAGGTTTAAAAGACTGAGCCCCTGGGGACAACTAAATGTTGAATTTTTCAAGTGCCCATGTAATATTTCAAGGTCTACTACAAGTGCCTATATTTTACTGCTGAAGCTTTTGCGTAATTTGAATAAACAATGGCCAGTTGGGATTGTAGCACAACATTAATCAAATAATAAAAACATTTTTTCTCTGGCCCGCAGATTTGTTGAACATTTTTAATGTGGCCCCTTCAGTGGCTGAGCTTGACACCCCTGTTCTAGAGGCTTACAGTGCATAGAACAAGTAGTTTGTTGGTTTATGTATCTTCGTATTGGAGTAGAGCAGGTCTTCATTAGCTTTTATTCACTGCTAGTCAAATTAGCACTTTCAGTGATATATTTATAGAAAATAGTCACAAACTTTAGACACTAGCATGGCTAATGTTGGCAATAAAGACTGAAGGCCAGAAGGGACCAGTTTACATTTGTGCAAACTGCGTTGCTAAATCATCACTACATCAAGTTGTTAAAAATCTCAAAAGGACATTCGTGGTTTCTGACACTGTATGACATTCTGTTTTCTATAAGTATCTATAATAAATTCTTAAATGTCAGATTCAGGCTCTAGTCCAATCCCATTTTTCAGCCCATTCTTTGCTGTAATGTCTCACTTTTTCCTCTTAAAACATTTTGATGGAGACATTTTCTGTAGCTAACTTATTTCATTTAAGTTACAGCCTGTTTTCAGTGTCACTTTCTGGTTAACCTCTTTGCACAGCAGCCATAAAATGCCATTTCTACCAGTTTTGAAGGTATATAAATATGGTTTTCTTTAATAACATTGATGGCAAATTTGATGGAAATATAATGGATGGTTTACAAAACCAGAAGAGAACTGCAGTTTCATGTGTTAGAAACCACATAGGTCTATGTTCCATTTAATTCCATGAGCTACATTAGCCTCTTAGCACTGGTGCAAAATTGAAGAAGCAAACTTCAGACACCAAACATGTCTTGGCTGAGTGACTACGTTCATGTTTAGCACACCTGATCTAGCTAATCAGGGTCAAATGTCTCAGATCAGGGAACTTTTACAAGCAGACAGCAGCATAGCTGGGCATTCCTGAGATATGACATCAACGTCAACCTTTAGAACACCCCTTGGAGCACCACCATAGGCCACAGATAATGTCAGCAGGCCTCCAGCTCTACTGACAGATGCGAACAAGTCAGAACATGCAAGCTAACTGCAACTGTGCCCCTGAAGCAAGTAATGTCTGATACATTACTGCAGAGCAATGTGCTCTTTAGCTGACAAATTCTGGTATTTTGGATGTTTGACTGGAATGCAATGACTTAATATCTAGGCTGAATGTAATTTTGGGTTTTTTTTGTCTCATACGTGAGAAAATGCATCTCTAAAGGAAACCTCCAGTTCTGAAATGTACGGTTTTCCTTCTTGACCTAAAATGTTTGCTTGGTGTCTGAGGTTTCCCTCTTTCCTTTTGTACCAATTAGGATCATAACACTTGCTTCAAACTGTGTTGAGTTGTTAGTACTCAACACAGTGTGACACACTGTTATCCATAAACATGGCCTAAAGTACGAGTGCAATTCAAGCTTCAGGATTACTGGTGCCTTGTGGCTCCAAAGCAAAACTAAAGAGGCAACTTACCGAGTCAGAATTATTAACAGTGGTGCTGATAGGAACCAGACATCTTAAGAGTTTAATGCCTCTAAAAGCTCCCTCACCTTTACTGAAATGGCTATGAATATGCTGCCTGATGCCTAAAACATTGTTTTGTGATAGATTTTGGAAAGTTTTGGCCTTTTTAAAATCCGTTCATAGTGCAGAGGTACATGCAGAGTGAAGTGTTATAAGGCAAAATGGTCCCAAATAATTTTTTGTACTATTTTAACATCATCAACGTTACATATAAAAGTCAGAACATAGGTGTACGTTCACTCGTGGCTTTGGATAGTAACTAAAATGGCTATATTTGTGTTGTAGACATGGTGACCTCTGGTTCGTATCACCACCACTAGAATGACTTTGATGGCCTGTTACTAAATTATGCAGAAAAAAAATGCTTTAAGTCCTAAATCATCTTCCATGCAACAAATCCAAAGTCTTTAAATTGAACCATTTAAATAGGTTAATACTGGGTGCCCAGCTTTAAAAAAGTAGTGATGGCTGAAAACTGAATACACTGTCCTAAATGTATTCAGTAATGGATTTTATTACAATGAATAAAAAATAAAGTATTCAGAATACATTTAGAATACATATTGATAAAGTACACAGGAAAAAACTCTGCTGACACTGTTGTAATTGGTATTTAACACACTCTGTTTTTCACTGTTACTGGTGGCAGTTTATTTCATGTAATTCTCCTGTTAATGAGGTTTATTACAACCCCATTTCTAAAATGTTGAGACGCTATGAAAAATGTAAATAAAAACAAAATGCAATGATGTGCAAATCATTTAAACCCTATATTTCATTGAAAATAGACAACATATCAAATGTTGGAACTGGGAAATTTCATTGTTTTTGAAAAATATATGCCCATTTTGAATTTGAATTTGACAACACATTTCAAAAAAGTTGGGATGGGGCAACAAAAGGTTGGTAGGGTTGTGTAATCCTAAAACACCTGTTGGTTAATTGGCAACAGGTCAGTAACATGATTGGGTATAAAAAGAGCATCTCAGAGAGGCTGAGCCTTTCAGAAGTAAAGATGAGGAGGTGGTCACCACTCTGTGAAAGACTGCACAATGAAATAGTGCAACAATTCATAACATTTCTCAAAATAAAATAGCAAAGAACTTTTGCTTTTCATCATCTACAGTACATAACATCATTAAAAGATTCAAAGAATCTGGAGAAATCTCTGTATGTAAGGGACAAGGTCAAAACGCAGTATTTGCTGGCCATCTTTGGGCCCTCAGGCAGCACTACATTAAAATGCATGAGCTCAGAAACACTTCTGAAAACCACTGTCTGTGAACACAGCTTGTCGCCGCATCCACAAATGCAAGTTAAAACTCTGAAACGCAAAGAAGAAACCATATATAAACTGGATCCAGAAACACTGCCACCTTCTCTGGGCCTGAGCTCATTTAAAATGGACTGAGGAGAAGAGGAAAAGTGTCCTGTGGTCCAACGAATCAAAATTTGAAATTCTTTTCGGAAATCATGGACACTGTGTCCTCCGGGCTAAAGACCACTCAGCTTTTTATCAGTGCACAGTTCAAAAGCCAGTGTTCATGATGGTACGGGGTGCATTAGTGCACATGGCATGGGTGATGTGCACATCTGTGAAGGCACCATTAATGCTGAATGATATATACATGTTTTGGCAACATATGCTGCCATCTAGACAACGTCTTTTTCAGGGAAGGCCTTGTTTATTTCAGCAAGACAATGTAAAACCACATTCTGCAGGTATTAAAGCAGCATTGCTTCATATTAAAAGAGTCCGGGTGATAAACTGACCTGCCTGCAGTCCATACCTATCACTACTGATAACATCTGGCGCATTATGAAATGAAAAATACGACAAAGGAGACCCTGAACTGTTGAGCAGCTGAAATCCTGTATCAAACAAGAATGGGAAAACATTCCACTTTCAAAACTACAGCAGTTGGTCTCCTCAGTACCCAAACGCTTACAGAGTGTTCTTAAAAGAAGAGGTGATAAAACCCAGTGATAAACATGCCCCAATCCCAACTTTTTTGGAATGAGTTGTTGGCATCAGATTTAAAATGGGCATATATTTAAAAAAAAAAAAAAAAAATTCTTTTTGACTCTATTATCTGCTTCAGTCCACTGCTTCTCCCATAATCCCACTGCCATCTCATGAACTAAACAAACAATTTATCATATCCCAATAACAAAATTTGATTATAAAATGAGTAGCTTGTGATTTTCAGTAAATGTCATGAGTTGCTTGCCATAGGATGCATGTACAAGTCCAGTACAGCACCAACACTTGTCCACTACTCAGTTTAGTCATCCTTCAAAAGAGTTTAATAACACTGAGATTAATAACTGGCTCATCACAGTGATTTATCAGTCCATTCAGGCTTTAGCAGAAACTCCAGTGTTTGTAAAGAAGCTATTGTTTGAGTTCTTCGTTACAGTAAGTCCTTATTTAAAAATGGTATATTTAAAAAAATATTTTAAAATGGTATATTTTTTTAATTTAGTGGATAAGTATTCCGAAAGTATTCTCCTAAAAAAAGTATGAGTACAACTGTATTCTAAATACCGCCTTTACAACATGTAACCTGGACTGAATAGAGATGCTTAAATGCTGTATTCTGAATATGTGTTCCTAATACATTCCAGTACATTGTCATCGTGTTACATGTTTATATAAACACAACTAACACGTGTGTTACGGGTACTTTCTCAAGGGGGCGTGGCCTGGAGCATCTTGCAGTCTTCTTGTGGGACGCAGTTGGATGCTGATGTCAACAGTAACTAAGCGCGTGCATTCCGCCACCAGGGGGCGTCATGGTTCTGTTTACCCCACGTGTCAAACTTTTCGCTCGCTCGCGCTCTCTCTCTCTCTCTCTCTCTCTCTCTCATTACATTACCAGCTCTGCTCCTCCTCGTGCGTATCTCTACCTGTATGCGCGCGAGGGTCACAGATCGTGTGTCCCCCCTTCTTCCTCTTTCTTTTTCACACTGCGCTGATGGAGCCGCTCGAGCCCGTCAGGAACGGTGCCTCGCGCCCCGTCAGCCTGTACGGGGAGTTCTCGGTGAAGGGGGTCCGGCACGCCGTCAGCCTCTCAGAACGCGAGCTCACCGTCCGCAGGCTCGCGGGGAGCAGCAGCAGCGGCGGGAAACCGGCCGCCACCGTCTTCAGCCTGGCGGACTGTCTCGGCTGCCGGGCGCACCTGGAGGAGCAGCAGGAAGGGCAACACGAGGAAGGGGAGGATGTTGGTGAGCGCGCGGACTCGAGCGCCTACTTCTCGGCGTATTTCTACCCGCTCCGGCGGCGGCGGCGCTGGGCGGGCGCGGGTCTCGTGCGACACCGCGTGGAGCATCGGTTCCGCGTAAGCGCGAGCGGAGACCCGCGCGTCAACCTGGAGGAAGCGCGGCGGTGGGCGCGAGCCATACGCGAGGGTTCCGCCCGGAACCGGCCACAGAGGACAGGTAAGAGCTTCCGGTTCTTCTTTTTTCCTGAATGTTTTAATGTTTGGAAAAGTTTATTGTTGATGATTTATGCTAATATTATGCAAATGGAGAAGTTTTTATCAGGCTTATAAGGACTGAACTGTTTAAAGTTACACACTAAAATAAATGGTTCTTCAAGGGTTCTTTAGTCAAGGCAGTTGTTCTAGGTAGAGTTTAGAGTTCTATATAGAACCTTTTTGAAAAGGGTGTTGCTGTAGTTACGATTTCAAGCTTGTAACAATAGAAGAACCCTCTTTGGTACTACATAGCACCCTTTTCAAAAAGATTCTATGTAGGACAATACACAACACATTCTCCATCAATCTGAAGAACCGTTTCACCATACAAAGATCCCCTTAAGCATGAAATGGTTCTATATAGAACTCATGGTTCTAAGTAGAACAGTTACCCACCTAAAATAGATGGTTCTTTAAAGGTTCTTTAGTCAAGGCAATTATTCTGGTTAGAACTATGAGTTCTGTATACAACCTTTTTGGAAATGATTCTATATTGCACCAAAAAAAAGGGTTTTGCTGTAGTTACAATTTCAAACTTGTAACATAAGAAGAACCTTTTTTGGTGCTGTATAGAATCTTTTTCAAAAAGGTGCTATATAGAACCATCTACAACTCATTCTCCATCAATCTGAATAACTATTTTACCATGCAAATAATTATTTAAGCATAAAATGGTTCCATATAGAACTCATGGTTCTATATAGGACCATGGCCCTTATAGAACCACATATTTTAAGTGTGTAGCTGTTCTTTAGCTGTGTCATCACACAACGTAAAAGTATCTTTAAAATGGAAGTAGCCTTAATAAGTCTAGAAAGCTGTTCTGACTTTAATGTTTTAACTGTGTCTAGTATTAGTTGAGAAGTGTTTCAGAATCCTGTATGTAATGAGAAAGTTTTTGTATCAGTTTTCAAACAATGCATGAGTTTTTTTTCTTGCTTTTCCATTGTTTTCCTGCAGATAATGAGATGGCACTGTACCAAAATCTGCCAAAGATACTAAGCTTTAAAATAAGCAATTTTTAGCACTTCACATTTTTTAGTTCTGCACAATGCAGTCTTTAACCCATGGCTTGCCACCGGCAAAACTTTATTACACACTTGTATAACCTAAAAATAGCTCAGCCAGTTTGCATTAAAGTCCCCGTAGTTACTGAGTGATAAGCCTAAGTACGTAATAAGGGGTCAATAAAAAGTCATTCAGAGTGGTTTGGTGTGAAATACTCAACTCTAGAGAAACTTACAGAGTCAGAATTGTTCACAGTGGCCATGATAGGAACCAGACCCCCACCTCTAAAATCGCCCTCACAGAAAGTTATTACATGAAATGTTGATATGAATGCACTGCCTGATGCCTGAGACATTGTTTTATGATAGTTTTGAGAAAATCTTGGCCTGAAACAGATATTTAAAGATGCATTCATGGCTGAGTGGTCCATGCAGGGTGTTATAAGGCAAAGTAGTCCCCAAAGAAAACTTACTTTTATTGAATTACCTGCTATTTTGCCATCATCAACATTACATCTAAAACCTCTGAAGACACAAGTAGGTTCACTGCTTAGTTTCTCTAGAACGCTGCACTCTGAAAAACCTGATTTCATTATGCTGAACTTCATCATAAAATCAGTGGATTTCCCCTTTAGTAATATCTTGAAGGCTTTGGGTTTGTAAGCGAAGCAAAAGTGACCAGACATCCTTCTGCAGATCAACCTACATGCAGTTCTGTTCTCACACCTGATCCAATTATTCAGTCTGCTTGTAATTAAGTTAACAGATCATATGTGTTAGACATGGGCTGGATTTGGTCTACAGGTAGGTTGACGGTTGTTGACCTTTAGTTTAGTCCCAATTCCATTCTGCTACACCTAATCCAGCTAATCAACTTTCAGTAGACCTAGTTGGAGTGTGTTGGATTTCGGGCTGGAGCTGCTTTAGGCTTATAACACAAAACCTGTTGCTGACAACAAAATAACATTAAGAAAGTTAGATATTTGGTTTCAACAGTAATGTAAAAGAGTGTTCCTTGTACACTATGCTTAATTTCACTAAATGACTCTTGTGTTTGTCTCTAGGGACGTTTCAGGTGTAGTTAATTCCAAAAGGCCTTCAAGTCAAAACCTCTTGTCCAGCCTCACAATGGAAGAAGACAAAGACCGTGAAATTGTACACCTGTGTTGATGTAACTGGTTTGTCTGTGTGAGGTTGCGGGTGGTCCGGTGTTAGTTCAGCTTTTCAGCCCTAAGTGTGGGGCCCATAATTGATTCATTAGGGATATTTATTTATTATTTAGAAGCTTTGGCTTTTTTTAAATCACAAAAAATTTAGCCTAAACTGCAATAAATGTAATCAGCAGAGGCATTTAGATAGGACGGTTAATGTTAAGATGTGGAAAATGTTAGTTTTAGTTGAATGCATTGTAAATTCATGTGAAGTGATTTTAAGAATGAGTTTTCAGGTACTCGTTCTGAAAGCCAAAGCATATTCAGGCACAAGGTATTCAGGTAGTCATTAGGAAATTCCAACAAGTATTCAGGTAATGGTTTGGAAATACCAATGGGTATTTAGATACTTGATTGGAGATACCAATGAGTATTCAAAGCCTGTGAAATGCTATTTAAAAATATAAAGAATACACAGATATGACAAGAGTTTAATATAGTAGGCATGTAACTATACACCATATCAAATTATTCCAAATTGTTTCACACAGTATAAAATTGTATCATAACTAGCATGTTAGCTTTTGTCTCAGCTTGGGGCTACATGTAAAATTGTGGCTAGAGCATTAGACTACAGACTATAAAGCACCAGCTTTTGTTTCAGACTAAGGTTTGATGTCACGACAACTAGAGAACTAGAGTACAATTAGCATGTGATAAAAGCAGCAATGACATCAAACATTGTGACATCTATCATGACAATTAGTCGTAACAGAAACATGACATTGTTATATTACTGAACAAAATCTGTTATGCCAGTTCATGACAGCTTATAAAACCTGCTATGATATATTTGTCAATGTTATGAAGCATGGTTTAAGTAAATGGACAAGAATAGCTAACATGCTTAGCTAAAAACAGTTGTAGTAGCAGTATTTAGCAATCATGAGGCCTGAATTTCGTCTCTGCTGTTATTCATTTTCACAGAACACGTACGGTTTGAGGCAAGTGTGTAATGTTCAAGGCATGCAGTGTGCACTGTGCTCAATGGTGTGGTGTGAAGGGTCGTTCGACTTGATTTTTTCCCTTGAACTTAGCTAGCTGCCAAGGCCCCCTGAGCTGAATCACCTGCATGGCTAAACTGGATTTGGGCTAGACTGCTGTAGTTCCTGTCATGTTCCTACACCGTGAAATCTCACAAACCAAACCCGTAAAAGCAATTTCCTTTATATGTCTTTAGTAGACAATTCCATCATCTTGGAATTGTGCAATATCCTCTTGTCTAGAGCTGTGGAATACATCCAGTCGAGCCATATAAACAGATCTGTGGCAAAATAATCTTTCCCATCTGTAATCCCTAAACCACTATGATGTGAGATTAAGATTTCAAAAAGGCTCCACTGGTTCATTTCATTTGATGGCTGGTGTCTAATCAGTGCCCTGCTGGGTCACTGAAGGACAAGGTCAGCGCAGTATCCTGCTCTTTATCTGCCGCTATTGAGTATTATTAATCAACAATAATCTGTAGATTCGCTGATACAGATGCAGAACACAGTGGCTGTAGATGACAGTATCAATACTTCCAAACCTGCTGTTTCTTTTTGAGAATACTTACATATAAAAATGTGTTTTTTCAACCAGGAGTTTTAAATATATTAGTTTGAAAGAAGCTGAACAAAAGGGGCTCCTGTGTAGTGAAGAAAGGGGGTAAAATAAAGGATAGGAACATACATAAATAGACATTACCTGGATATATTATATTATACCTAATATAGGTTATTTTAATTACTTAAAATCAGTAATTTCATGTGTAGCACAATTTTTACAACTATAGTTTGATGAATAAGCACATGTGGCCTTAGACAGAACAATTTAGCTGAGACTAATGCAAAAAACAGATTATGGCTTTGAAACAATTATCAGCATCCGACAGATTCTTACATTAGACTGGTATTTCAAACCGATATTTGGTGATGTGTTTATTTTACTCTGAAAGAACACAAGGTTTAGCTGATGTTGGTTTACTGCACTATTTTTTATTAATTTTGCTACAATGTTACATTTCTTCATAGTGCTAATTCATGTAGATTTAGTCCTAATTTCAACATTTATAACGATTTATGTATCAGAATCAGTAGATATTTACATGATCGCTATTGATTATTAGTTCTGGTCCACCATTTCCTTATCGGCTCATCGCTGGTATTTATCAGTCTTCACTGTAGATTCCATTTTTATGTGCTCAAGAAGACTTAAAACTGTCTGTATTGGTACTGGGACACTAGATTTGGTATTACTTGGTATTGTTGTAAAGAAGAGCCCTATGTTCCTAGGACTATATGTTCCCGGGGTTCTATGTTCCCAGGGCCCTATGTTTCCAGCGCTCTATGTTAAAAGGGTCATATTCTTCAGGGCCCTATGTTCCCAAGGCTCTATGTTCTCAGGGCCCAATGTTCCTAGGGTTCTATGATCCCAGCACCCTATGTTCCTAGGGTTTTATGATCCCAGCACCCTATGTTCCCTGGGCTCTATGTTACCTTGACTGTATGTTCCCTGGGCTCTATGTTCTCATGGCCCTATGTTACCAGAGCTCTATGTTCTCAGGGCCTTATGTTCCCTGGGCTCTGTGTTCCCTGAGCTCTATGTTTCCCGTTCTCTGTGTTCCCTGAGCCCTGCCCTATGTTCCCAGGGCTCTATGTTAGCTCTTTATGTGATCCATCATACCGCAATCTGATGCATTAAGGGAATCTGTGAAGGGGTTCCCAAGGTCATGGTTAACATTGTGGGTTCATTAAAGGTCATAC